CCTTCAGGATTTGTTCTGAGATCCTGTACCTCAGATTGTAGAACCTTAGTCAGTGTCAGCCATGTGGATGAGTCATGACCATTGCTTGGCCAATGTGCTCTCTGTGAAAGCTTGAGAGAATGTTTTCTCTCCATGTGACTCTCCTTAGGCACACTCTACATCATTGATCACCATTTTTTTCAAAGAGGATCCATCCTAAGAAGATTGGAAACTCCTTTCATGGGTGTAGCCCAGTGTTAGCTTGCCTAGCATGCCGGACACCCTGGGTTTGAGCTTCAGTGGGGGGACGGGAGAGTGTGGGGGTGGAAGGAAATGAAGAAACTGCCGTGGGGTCACGGCGGTGCAGGCCTGCGATCCCTGAGAACCTGCTTGCTCGCAGAGTTCCAGCTGGGGCTGAGGCCGCAGGCAGCGCCCTGGAGAACCCACTGCCCCAGTGGGACCAGCACTGACCGCGCCCTGGGAGTGTCTGCACATTCACGAAACGACAGTTTTGCAGAACCTTACAGGCTGGCACTTCCCTTTCGTGCCTCACCTGTGAGGTGATCCAGCAGCAGGGACGCGCAGAGCCTCTTGGCTTCGCAGTAATCCCTTTTGCAGCCCACCTCTTCCGAAGGGAGAGGAAACATGTTGCCGGAAAACCCTGCCACCTCTCCTTTGCCCCTGAAGAGACTGTCTACGGTCCCACCCGCCCAGCAGCAATGATGGCCACTAGAGTGCAACAGGAGATTCTATGGGGTTTTAAGCATGTCAGAAGGTTCCATCCTCTCCATCCTTTTTACCAAGGGTCTCAATGTGACGCAAACATCCATTCACTGACCCTTGTCCAAGAGTACAAGGATTTGCTTTGTTTTAAGACAGGGTCTACCTATTCAGTTCAGGGTGGCTTTGAACTCACAGATCCTCCTGCCTCAGTTCCCCAAGGACTGGGATTATAGGCGTGAGCCACCACATCCAGCAGGCTTCTCTGGTTTAACAGGTCAGTTTTCTGCCACTCGGGTCACAGCCTGCTTTTTTGTCCCCACCTAGGGATTCTTACCACAGTCCAAGCGCAGTATAGAAGCCCAACGCTACGGAAGCGGCTGTCACGGGGGCGCTCGGTGCTCCATCGCCCCCTCGTGGCCAGATGGGGATCTCCATGGAAAAATAAGGCTCGAAAATTCTACTGGAAAAGTGCTGGTGATTCTCCATGTGCCCCTCAGGGTCACTGTAGCTTTTTTCTTCAGCACTGGGCCCTGGGAGACCGCCCTGTGCGGATTCCAGCCACGAGCGTCCCTGACCTGCATCTCTTGTTGGGCTGTATGGATTAGCGTTGCGACCCAGAACCCCGAGAGAGTCCACCTTGTCTGTCGCCCAGGTTTCTGTACTCCTCGGCTTGCCGGCGCCTCTCAAAACTGTCTCTGCTGGGCTGGAGAGATGGCTCAGTGGTCTAAAGCACCTACTTAGAACAAGCTTAGCAAAAGCATCAGGGACCGCGGTTCAATCCCCCAGCACCACATGCC